CATGTCGCAATTTTTAGTAGCATTCATTAGGTAATAAAATGCACTGTTTTTCCAGCTCTAAAACCTTCCTACTTATCTTTTCTCATATTAGGATGCTAATGTACATTGGGCTGGGGCTTTATTTGGAATAAGTGTTTCTATTTAGATCACCTTAACTGGATCAAAGAAGAAGGTATGAAATTGTGTGGTGGTGCTAATATTCAGCAAATGTGATTGTGTTCCCAGCAAATTGCTACATCCTGCATCGATTCTTTCCTTGCCAAAAATCATTCCACACTTTTTAATAGACTTTATGAACTCTGGAGCTGGATTTTAAAAAGGAGCGATGAAGTTAGCGAAGTATAGTTGCCTTGGTCTAAATGTAGACTTTTTTTGAGTTAAACTGCAGACCATATGCAAGTTTTCCAGAGTTGAGAGATGCTGTTTCATTCTATGATTTCTTTCCCTTGACCATTGGATGCATTCCATACCATGGACACATTTCATCATAAATTTGTTTGTTCTCCTTTTAAATTCACCCTTTGCTTCATTCAAATCCAGACCCTACCATTCACCAATAGATCTACCACTTTGCATTCTGCTAGCAGTCTGACCTGGACCCTCCCCACAAAACCATTCATTTTCCATAGTCTTCCTACAAACTGAATTTATCCCCCGGCCATCGTGGACAGAGCATTGTAAATATAATTTTGTTTTCTGCAACTGATGAACGGACAAGATTTTGCTGAGTCCAGCAGAGCTTGGTCTTCAGCAGGCACTTTTTCTTTTTACTCTCTGGAGGATGATCTCAATTTTTCTCCTCATGGGCCTTTCTCTGTCCCAGGGAGGCAGCAGCCTGGTGTCTCTCCTCCTTGTCCTGACAGCGTTCTCTTTCCTTCCACTGGGGTAGCAGGGCTGAGTGGCTCAAGCAGGTACTTTACCTGACAGACGTTTAGCAAGCAAAGCAGAGAGTGTTTCTGGGACTGTTCCTTTTCATGCACAATTTAAGTCTATGCCAGGCAGAGCACAAACCATGATGTGGAAGCAGCATTACCTCTCTAATTTATCTCCCAGCTTTTATTGTAGTGCCCATTGCTGCAGTATCAAAACTCAGTTAATACTTCGTTGGCCAAAACTGCTGAAGAATATTGTCAGTAGAAGGTAATAATGAGTTCACACTCTCTGTTGAGCCTGGCCTCAAGCTAATGCTAGTAAGGATATGATGAGAAGATTTCTTTCTACACGCTTGATTTTTGGTATGCTAGACGTATGAATTTGAACTATAACTAAATTGGAGTAAAGTCCAGACTAAGAGTTTGTATGTTCGTACTGAATCATTGTTAAAGATGTTAAAGGGGATAAATGTCAAAATTATTCTGAGAGTCACTTCAGTATTAAAAAATTGGAAAGTCAATAGCCTACATTAACTGTTTCCTACACTACAGGAACGTCGGTGTTGGAAGAAAATTCAACCTAGAAATGCTGACGGCAACATTTCCTCTGCCCTTAATTTAACTGCTGTTCTTATATATGGTCAGCCTGCGGTCCAAGCCCTGCCACAGAGAGTGTCAGGGAAGAAGGCTGGGCCAACCTCTCTGTCTGTGCTCTGGATAGGGCTCCTGAGGGAACAGGCTGGCATTGGGTTTTGGCTGGTAGGTACAGTAAAAGCAGATCCAAAAAACTGCATGGCAACTGCTACAAACACCAGTAAACAAGGACTCGAAAAATCTTGGGAGCCAACGTGACCGAAATAGCAAAAGGGAGCTAATAGTAAGAATCCTTTGCAGCTGTAGCCTTTTTCGTCTGAAGATACTATGCTGCTTTACAGATATTACTTAGGCTTCACAATATGCTGGTGACTTATATACATGTAATTATACAGATTTTGGTAAGGACGCCAAAGTGTTTTATTGATGTGACTAAGGAAAGCCAGAGAGCCAGAGCAGAAACCAATTCAGGCCTATTTCTACTCATCTCCTTTTAGCATGTGGCAATCTTTGAGAGCAAGGGCTTGCATGTGCCAGCCTCCGCTCCAGAAGGGGCCTTTCTGTGCCCTTGCCTGTAAGTCATCTCTCCTAAGGGTGGTGTTTATAGCTAACTACATGTAGTTACGGAAGTTTCCAAACTGGAGTGTGAAAAAGAAGTGATATGATTGGGTATTTGCCTCTGATTTGAGATGCAGCTGGTAAAAGATCAATGAATGTGAGGATTGAAGGGTATCACATATGTAAATGCTTTCTGGCACGTGTAAATTTCAAAGTCAAAATGTAGTTCAGTCCAAAAAATGACCCTATAAATAATGACATCTTTTTCTGTTATATCCCACTAAATCCACATCCAATTTACTCCGATTACAAATAAGAGCATGCTTTTCCTAAGACATTTTCCAGCAAACTCAGTTTGGGCAATCAAACCCACATCTTTATTTTTTGCACATCATTATTGATAACCAAAACTCTGGAGGGCAGGTTGGATCCTTAGTTTATCTCCATGCAATCTGATTAACCTTTGCCAGTACAGGTGTTACTTTGAGAAAAATGTGGAGGCTTGGCTCCTCAGGCACTTTTCATAAAAGCAGACTTTCAGTGGTTTCAGAAACACTTGGCTGAGAAGCATCACTGTCCCATTGACTTTCAGAAGGTTTGTGTTCCTACGTCCCTTTAGAGTATGTCTACATTGCAGCTGCAATTTCATAACAGTGGATATGAGCACACGTACCCAAGCCACCTTTAGTCTAGCTGTCTTGACTATCATAAAACCATAGAATCATAGAATAATTCAGGTGGGAAGGTACCTCAGGAAGTTGCTAGTCCAACCTCCTGCTCAAGGCAGGGTCAACTATGAGGTCAGACCAGATTGCTCAGGGCTTTTCCTGGTTGAATCTTGAAAACCTCCAAGGATGGAGACAGCACAACCTCTTTGGGCAAGTTGTTCCAATGCTTGACTGTCCTAATGTTTAATTTTTTTCTCCTTATGCCCAGTCTGAAACACTTCTTGTGTTTCAGTTTATGTCAACTGTCTTTTGTCCTCCTGCTGTGCACCACTATGAAAAGCCTGAGTCTGTCCTCTTGACAGCGACCTCACAGGCACTGGAAGACTGCTACTAGCTCTGCCAAAAGCCATCTCATCTCTAGGCTGAGCAAGCCCTGTTCCCTCAGCCTCTTCTCATACAGCGGGTGTGCCAGCCCCCTGACCTTCTCTGGGGTCCTCTGTTGAATTCATGGCAGTTAATTCATGTATTTATTTCCTGTACTGGGGGTCCAAAATATTATAAGTGGTCTAAAAAGTGCTGAATAGAGGGGCATAGTTACTCCTCTGATCTACTGATGTAGATCAGATGTTAACAGTCATCCTGTTAACACAGCCCAGGATGCTGTTGGCCATCTTTGCTGCCAGGGCACACTGCTGGTTCATTGTCAGCTCATTGTCTACCAACACCCCCAGGTCCTTTGCAGCAGAGCTGCTCCCCATTGATGAATATATGAAATGGGACAGGTCCCAAGACAGACTCCCATGGTATTCCACTTGTAACTGGCCTCCAGGTAGAGTACAATCCATTAACCACTCCCTCTAATCCTACAATCCAGCTAATTTTTTAGCCATCTGCTTGTCCACCCATCCAGGCTGTGACATCCCAACTGGGTTATGAGAATGTTGTGGGATACCATGTTAAAAACCTTGCTAGATTTAAGGTGAAAGACGTCCACTGCTCCACAAGTCCAGTCATTTTGTCATAGCAGGCAGCTGGGTTGGTCAGACATGATTTGGCTATGGTAAATCAATGCTGACTGTTGCCAATCACCTTTTCCTTATGTGCCCAGAAATGTCTTACAAGATGATTTGCTCCATATTTTTGGTCCCAGCCTCCCGGGAACCAAAGTGAGGTTGATTGGCTTGTAATTCCACGAATCATCAGTTTGGCCTTTTTTAAAGATAGGTGGAGCATTTGCCCCCAATCTCCATGACTTTTCAAAGATGATAGAGTGCGGCAAGGACATCAGATATTATTTAAAATCTGGTAGATATATTGAATGAATCATTTTAGTTTACGGGAAGGGCAATTCATTTGTGGACTTACAAGTCTGAGTCTGCTTTCCCCTCTTGGCCATGTGAACTGGCTTCATTGGAAGAACTGCCTTTAACCCCATACACTTGGTGAAGAACTGATTGATAATGAAGAACCTCTCCGTTTCCATGTCCCCAGTGATCCTCCATGGATTAACAGGGAATTGCCAGAGGCAGACAACCGGGGCACAGGCAGGAGGGGACATGTCTGGAGAGTCCTATGAATTATTTCTTGATCTTTAGCAGAAAGACTTTGTACATACAGGTGAAAGAGGCTCGTGTAAGCTCAATAGATTATATTTGTCTTCAGTAAAGTTGCTTGCATTTCATACTAAAAGACTGGACTCGTTTTGGCTGGTTGATCTACCGGAGAAATGTCAGCAAACATACAGATTTTTATTATAAATGTGTTTATTTATTCATGGAAATTATTTGACTTGATTTGCAAACATCACTAATCTAGCCTGGTTTTTGAACTGTTAACATTTAACTGAGTTACCTGACTTTAAATTGGCCACATAACTCAAGTGACGCATTGCGAATGGCTTCTGCTTGCTTTTTGACTTTCCTGCGTTTCCCCTGCTTTTGCTCACAGCAGCACCATCACGCCTCACCCTCAGAGCCTGATCCACACACGGCTGCCTTCCCCTCTCACCTACCCCTCCCTGGCGAGGGCTGGTGCCTCCAGTATTCAGTGCAACACCACAGCCTCTGCCTCATCCTGAGACTGGGCGCGCAGGCAGCTTCGTGAGGCCGCGGAGGGGCCGGTGCTGCGGACAGGCTGTGCTCTCGCTGGAGCTCCGTGCTGCCCAGCTGCAGCCTCAGGAAGCACGGCATCGCATGGCCCAGTGCTCCAGGGGTGATCCTGCACACTCTTGCCTTGCCTTTCAAAGCAAAAACACCAGAAAAGAGGACCACCGTTTGATTCATTTGGGTGCCTTTTGTTAGCTAGGGTCATGTATCGACTGCTGGTTTTAAATGTGTCTTACATGAGTCTGCGCTATGGGCTGGGGCTCCTGATGTTAGTAACCCGTGGTTGCGGCTCAGATATGCCCCCACCGTAACAAGGTCAAGTGACTTGAAGCGTGTTGAAAGCAGTAGATGAGCCTGCCATTTTTCACTTTTGGGTATCTGAATCCAAATCCCAGTGAGACTGAATGTGTTTCACTGAGCTGCTACTGTTTAAAAAGGTAGGCCCATATATCATTACCTGATCAACTATATTACAGCTTTGCGTCAGAGATACCGATTGGTTTGCTTGCCCTACTAAATATGAAGAGTACATTCATTTTTGTGAGAGCATGCAGAGCTTCTGCTAATCTTGTTTAAAGTATAAATTTTTATGTTCTGTCCAGGTAGAGTCAAACTGGCACTTCACATCATAGGTAAGCGTTTAAGGCCTGCAGGATCTGACTTACGGATGTGAGCAACACTTAATTATAAACGTTACTGAAGACAAGACATAATTATCATTGTCAGCGACTTTCAGTTCAGCAAAATCAAAACTCATCTCACGCATGTACCGAACGTGTGTGCATTAAGCTATGCTGAGCTCTAGCTAACTCTGTTTTTTAATTCCCTCTGTTGTCTGTCAGGTCTTTTCCGTAGTGGGAGAACAACAATGGGTTAACAACAGAAAAGATTACCAAAAGAAAATCTTCCGTTATTTTGTATTTGTTCTGCCATGATTGCTATGAAAAGCTCTCTTTTTTTTTTTTCTCCCCACTTCCTACAGGACAATTTGCAAAAAGGAAGAAGACTTCTCTTTGGTTCACAGTCTCTCTGCTGGTAGTGTCTGTTTTCATACTGACCATAGGTCTGGCAGCTACCACAAGAACAGAGAATGTTACCGTGGGAGGCTACTACCCAGGCATCGTTGTGAGTAAAGAAACCTATTTTAGATTATTGGGTACAACCATATGAATTATTATCAGCTGGATATGGGAAGCTCTGATTGATTTAAAAAAAAAAAAAAAAGAAAATTCAGTCCTGTTGCATTTCACAGGAGAGAGATACTCCTTTGTTTTGATCTTGTTCTAGTGTGTGATAAGGTAGGGGGGTAAACTCTGTTTTTGTGAAGTGCCCCAAAGGGGAGGCTGTTACGGGGGCAGAAGGCGGTCAAGGTTGCACTCCACAGCAGTATGCTGGGCTCAGGGGCCCATGTGAGAACCTGTGCTTGACTTCCCACTGATCTCTGTTAAATGTGGGCATAATACTGACTGGACAGTAGGCATGGGGTAGATTTAAATGACCTCTTAGAGACTTACTACGTTGATGGCAGAAAGAGCCACTCTGCTTTCGTGTCTGTGTGTCAGGAATTCTGCTGGGTCCATCGCAGGGAAAGCCCTGCGGATGGACATATGGAAGCTTCTTCCTGGAGCCTGCCTAACATGTTCTTGTGCAGTCTTGCTGTCAGGCCACTTGTACAAGATCCCCTTCCGAAATCCTTAGTCTTGTTTTTGCCTTGGGAACAGACCACTTAAACACGTTCCTACACTGGGCACAAGGTTCGAGTTGTGTCTGCTTTGCCCTGTGGTGCCTCTCTGACTTCTGGGGAGGGGTAGCCCTGCCAGGCCCTTGCCGGTTCAACCCCCATGGCCCTTTCTGATCCCAGAAGGAGATCAGCCATATCCAAAAGGGTGAAAACCCCTGGAGTCAAAAAGTTTTTTGAGATATCTGGGCTGAATTTTAAAAAAGAGGAGTACGGGCAGCAAATAGAGAAAGGCCCATCTGCCTCATTTGGTCTCCCCAAGCCAGCCAAGAGGAGGCAGAGGGTGCAAGGTGAAGAAAGAAACTCATAGAGTTAGGCACCTGCTTAGGTATGTGGCTCCACCACTACCAAAATGTGTTGTAAGGTACCGTTATTTCTTGTTCTCTATGGAATGAAATGCCCAGAGAAGAGGGGTTTGTATCTTTTAATACTGTGCATACATTTTGCATTGCCATTAATAATTTGTGAGTTAGAACTGTTCCTCCTAAGCAAGTCCTCTTACATCTTAGTGTCATGCTGAGAACAGGTCTTTCAGAAAGATAATTTTGGGATAATGATCTATAAGGAGTGGTGTTTTAAAAATAGAACAAAAAGTAGTTCCAAGAATAAAACCTTAAAAGAATCAATTTTCCTTTCATTAAGCTAAAACAGATAGATTAATACTGGTAAAGGTCTCTTCTTCTGTAATTTGAATTAAAATAATTTAGAAGACCATATTAGCTGCATTCATTCCCTTGAAAGAAGTTTCATTTTTAACCTGTTGTCTTTAATAAGTGTAATAAGTAATAAACCCATGTGCACAAACCAGTTTATTTCAGCATTTAGTTTCTTTTAGAAATAACACAATGTCCATTCACTCAGCTGAAAAATATAATCTACTGAATAATAAATCTACTTCTTTAAAAATCTTGGAGTCATTAATAACCAGATAGAATAGCTAGAATTTATCAGAACACTTCAAAACCAAAACTTTTTATTAATAATATCCCCCCTCAAAAGATTGTTGGAGCTAAATAATTTTCACAAAATTCAGAATTCTTTTTGCGCACGTGATGGATTATTGAAGTAACTGAGAGAGAGTGGTGGGTAACTGTCAGTGTAAACTCCATTAATACACTAAATATCCCAACCATTTAGCAAGAGTTAAAGATGCTACACAAACCTTGCATGATATCTTGCCAGAAGCCTGGTCAGAGGTGTATGACAGCACTGCTGTGTTCCTGCCTCATTACCAGAGGTTACTGACGCCAGTGAAGCACTGACAGATGGACTATGGGCTGGTGTCTCCTCCGCCTCCGCGCAAAGTCATCCACCTCTTTCAGAATGAGCTGAATAACCCTCAAAAGGTGCTTCTCTTCTCCGCTGACAGTAGAGGGAGCTTAGAAAACCAACATAGCACTGATCCCAAACTTCTGGATACCTAAAGCTAGGGGAGTGAATTTGACACTACATATTTAACTGTTGGGCTCAGAGAACAGAAAGACTATGAGGACAGACAGTGTTAATTACAATTAAAAATAAGGTCTAGTTCTTATAGAATTCAGTAGTAAAATATTAACTTCAGAGCTGGTAGGTGAGATCTAAGTCTCCACTGACCTTAGGTAAGGGATTTTGGTCTTAAAAACCATGCAGAATTAGTCCCTATCTTCGAAATACCTACAAATGTGAGTAAGACTATCCACTTGCATAGATTTACTTGCATCTAGAAGCATTTGCAGAGCAGGGCTTTAGGGCTAGATCCATAATACAGTTTGGGCTTCTGCTTAGTTCTCATGGGCTTCAAGAAGAGATAGGTGCCTTAATTACTCTGCATATGTGGCCGCTCATCATTTGTTCTGGAAAACGCTTTTTTCTAAATACATCTTTATAGTGGTAGGTATTATCTGCATTTATGCATCCAAAGTAATTTAACATAAAATATTTCTGTGTGTACATGAGTTAGTATAATGTTCCACTTTGGAAGGTGTCTGCATTTAGCAGATTACTGCTTGATCATCAGTTTGGATTTAGGGCTGTCTGTGGAATGGGCTGCAAAGCCAGAGTTGGAGCTTCTTCAACCTCACTTCCTTATAAATATTGTTTATACTTAAATATTTAATGTCACTTCTCTATGACTAGTGCTTGTATTATTTTCATTTGTTGTTTTTATAATCTTTCAACCAGGAGTCTACAGGGTCCAGTTGTCCCAGTCACCATACTGACCTGGACTCCCAGAGTTCCCAACCCAAATAGCCTCTTGTCTAAACAGACAAAAAAAGCAGCACGTGTGACCCTAAACCAATCTCAGCAATGCCGTGGCTTAAATCGTGATCTCTATCTATGGTTCTGCTCCTTCTGATTTAATTGCTGTTGTTCCGTATTTGCTCATTTTTTCTTCACATGGATAATACTACTCTGCTCTGTGTCCCCTGCATCAGCCTTAAATGGGGCTTTATGGATTGTTCCCGTTGGGATGAAAAATGGGGCTTGGAACCAGGTGTCATTCTGATGTAGTTATCTTAATTTACAAAGTTGCTGTCCCCCGAACAGAGTGTCCTTGCTCACGGTTCCAAGTCTCTTTCCTATTCAGCTGTCAG